AACGTTATGTCTTTTGCTTCAACGTTCGACTTCAACTGACTTCTCCTGCCCTTAGAAATGGAGGAGGCGGCGAAAGGTAGTGTCAGATTCATACTGGCCATTCCTTCTGCTCCGGTTCGGTTGCGAGAAACTTTATCACGAAAAATCCGGGCGAAGACGCGGGCAGGAAGTTAGCACACAAAATGCTGCAGTAAGTCGACAATGGCGCATACTGTAGACATGTTACATGACATTTATTTAATTAAACCCATATACAGTGGCAACGAAATGTTTGTGCAACAAGCCACTTTATTTATTATATTCGTTGACAGACGCTCGTTCGCCTTAATATCTCAGAGCAATTGTATCGCAAAACTCCATTGATATTGTAGTGTAGTTCGAGTGTTATTCTGTTTGTGCCGATTGTATTGTACTTGAGAACTTGCAATATTTTTTTATTGGTACTGCGTCGTGGTTAGTGTATTTCTATGAATAATCTTTTTGTTTAATATTGTTTCGTTTCAAGCAGAAGCCTGTAATTTTTTCCGCTGAATCTACTGGATCGATTTGAACAATTATTTTGTGTTAATAATCCATGTATCGAGTAAGGCTCTACAATATAAAACATTATGCTTCGACCAATAGGAGCCAGTCTTTCAGCCGGTGTACGTGCGAGAGTAGCAAGTGATAGATAAGTATGTTTTAGTTCAAAAAATGTTACGTATTCAAATGTAATGCTTGTAATAACATGCATTACATTTGAATACGTAACATTTTTTGTAGAATTTCAGTTAAGGTTCCACAGAACAAAGGAGAACATATTTAAAAAAAATTCATGTTCCTCATAGTTATTCAAAAAAAATTGTTTTTGAATTATCTCCGCGTTGTGTCCTTTCAGCATGAATGAAAATTATAATTCTATCTGTTATTACACAGTTTGATATTAACAAAGGTATGGCCGCGTTGAACAACTCAACAAATAGCAACAAGTGGCGGCAAAAGTTCCAGAAAGTTCCTAAATGTTCGCATATTGCAGAATGTTCCCGTACTTTATGTTGAAAGTCAACCCCAAACGTTTTGTCAAAGTGTCTGACAAAATATGTATTAAATTTTGTTCTTAGATAAATTAGTATCCCATCAAGTGTAATTTCTTGGCATATACCAAATAATCAAAACTACTACTGAAATTGCAACCAAGCTTAGATTGATGCGGAAAACCAGGTACTGAAAAGCCTATGGACCTTTGCAATACCATAGATATTACTGCATAACTGGCCTCAATTAATAGATTGAAAAAAACATTGTTACAAAATATTGTTATATACATACAAGTCTCTATGGTAAAATATTAAAAAAAAAACTTCGTTGTTGGATAAGGAAAGACTTCCAAATACACAATGTAAATGATTTTAAAGAAATATTATGTTGTTCTAAGGCCAGAAGGCAGAAGAAACAGGTACAATTATAATGAAATCGCCCCTCGATATAGGTACTGGGTGCAAGACAGATGTCCGATGAAAAAAAAAAAAGAATACACAGGTGGTAAAAACATAAGCCTCATTTGAATTGAGAACTCATTCTTTTTATAAGGTTTTGAATTATTAAATAAAATATATAGGTAGTATATTTATTGTACTATTTATAAGCCTCCTACTGATTTTTTTAGTCTGTACTTATTCATTGCTTAGATTAAGTAAATAAATGTGAATTATTTATTTATGCAATTTTAAGTAGATAGCACTTAATTTGGAATAGTATTTTGAGACTTATTAGTAGTGCTACTTGGTTGATGAACATACCTATAGATTTTTCCAAGGACTCTTGAAGACTCTTTTGACTATTTTGTAAATAATTTAACTTTTCAAGCGGACATCGAACTTGCGATACGTTGCAGAGCATTTGCCCAGCTACTGCGTCAACTTTGCAATCAAGCCTACTGTAATTTTTTTTTACAAAACTGTCGATAGAAAGAAACTCCTTATCCTTTCGACTATGTAGGTAACAATGGTGATATTATTGATACCTACGTTATAATAACAGGTTAAAGTACAATAATAAGCAATTATAAAGATAAATTACTGTTCCCTGTGAAGATAACATCTTTACGAGGAAACAATCATTATAGGTATAATATAAACACGTGTACGATTTGTCGGGAATGTCTGCTTCGATAAATACAATATAGCTAAAATTAGTTTTTTTTTTTATTTAATTTAATCCTATTTTAATTTTATTTGTCGTTCGTCGAGTTATTTATGTAGTGTTTGTATGTTTGTAACTTAATAACACAGAAACACCTGGGCTGATTTTGATAAAATTGTATTTTAGGAATCAGAATTAAAAATAGAAAAGAAGAATTACAGTGTCTTGTGTTCTCTGAAGAGATTTTTTAAAGAGCAAATAATTTTGGTTACAAATAATAAGGTATGATCGAATTCCCATACCAACCAAATACACCCCTACAGTACAAGCTGTTTTGAAAGATAATAAGAAGATAATTAAAAATAATAACAAATTCTTCAAAATACCGGTACAGATTAAGTTAATTAAAGCAGAACAAGCAATACGTGTGGACAATGCGACAATAAATAAAGTATTGATACGATCAACTCGTGCGCAGAACCCGTCAAACGCTGCGCCGCATTTATCGCCGTTCCATTTTCTGCATACGCTTCTAAGCTTAAGACGATTCTTGGTATAGAAGCTGTTTTGTTGTTCTGAACTTCGGGTTAGACCTAATATAAGAGTCCATTTCTGTTGTTTGGTTAATATTTGATTGTGTTGACCTGTCGTTAATTTTATGCATTAAAGTGGTTGTTCAGAGATTCTTAATGAGTATATGAAAATTATTTGATGAGAGTCAGTTGTTTGTCTTAACAGAACATGTGCCTTGATTGTTATGAAATAATAATGATTGTTTCTGTAACATAACATGATCTGTAACAATTATTCCACTAAACAAATAATCGTTGGTGATCGATTAGAAAAATGACTTTTATAATACGTATATTAACTGCCTAGATTATATTTTAGCATTTTCAATAAGGAGGTTAAGAATATTTTTCCTTTATTAAAAGGTACAAGTAGCTAGTAAAGACAAGATACTAAAACTAGTAATTTACACTGTGGGAAAACAATACAACTTCCTATGAGTATGGTATTATGAAGTTATAATGGCAACAACAGTAAAATTAGACAAATTACGCGTTTTTATAATAACCTACAATAGTAGTATTTTAGTACTCATCATATTGCTACTTGATTTTTTATGAAGTGTTTTTTTTTCAGTACTTATCAAACTCTATTACTATTATATACTTCAAGAGATACTGTGACCTAATTACACAACGCTTGCTATCAATCACTTCACAAAGCCTCATTATTTTCTGATAATTATGAATGAGATATCTATTCCAAAGTTTAGTATTACCGTCAATATAAATCATAGAGAAATTGCCTTCATATGATAAGGTATTGCACTATATCGTGGCTTACTCATACGATAGTATTATCGTTTCAATATCTTTGTAAACACTGCACCCTAAGTATTACGTAACGACATGAACAACATACCGTAAACCAGTTCCCTCCCCAACAGTACATCGCCGCATTCAATTAACTGTTGCAGAAGAGTCAGACGATTCTTGTATCCGAAATCCGAAGCAAGCAAACCCAACATTGTGTCACATTGTCTTCACAAATCACAATAAATTGATTAAAACACTACAATATTAACACAAAATTCTTGTTGTTAAACAAGTACTGTCACAAACACATGTTCTTTTGGCGCGAAACCAGGACAGATGCGCTCGCGCCGCTTGCCGGTTGCGACTGCGTCTTCCGAAAGCTATTACAAGGGACAGGTGGTGACAAAGGAGTCCCTACTTCCCCTCTATTTACTAAAAAAGCTCTTCGACTAGTCGGACGATCGATCGCTAGACTAGTTGAAGTGTTGTTAGATTGGGAAATAATTATTCATGTACCTACACCTAACGTTATGTTATGACATTTACGTCAAAAGTCAGAATAAAATTATTTTTATGATGAAAAGTGAGAAAAGGCAAATTAACAAAACAAGCATGGAAAAAGCTTTTCGATGCTTTCACAATATTTTTGGAGCGAAACCACTCATTCGAAAGAATACTTCTTTTCGATGCACACGGTGGTGCCAGATCGGAGCACGACACAGCATCCAATACTTTTGATGTATGAAACTTCCGGATCAATGGAAATACCGAATAACCCAATTGGAATTGGCTAAGTGCATGCATGCACGGCGTACGTGAGCGGGTGCACGTCCCACCCGCGCCCCTTCGCTATTATTACTCGCATCGTACGAGGGTGGTTGAATCGGGGTTTGATTATTCGCACATCAACATGTTTGCATTTCATCGATTTCGTCTGAGTACAAGGCGACAGGGCAGTTTTGGTCAAAATAATGTACTGTATAGATATCAAAAGATAGGCTTTAGCTTTATAATAGCTGAAGCATATTGGATGGTAAACGTTAAGTGAGATAAAGCTACCGGTGTATAGAGGAGGAGAATGGAGCACGCGTCGCGTTTATTTATTTTTGTCTGCGCGGCACGTGGGTACGGTCGCGCTCGGCTCGGTCGGGAACGTCGCGACGCACCGACGCACGCGAGTGTACTGACCGCGCGAGTTTCGGACGCGCGTCATTCGTTGCACTATTGTGCAGGGCGTTAGAATAGTGAGGACGAGACCTATTATTATTTTATTGTTTAAATTTTGTTACTGTTAAATCAATTCAATTAATATTTATTTGAATTAATCTGTAACTTGAATTTTAGAGTCTTTTATAAACGTGTGTCAACTACTAAAATAACTTAGCAATTACCATTATCCTTTCACGAGTCTACAGACATACGAATACGAGTGGAAATCCCGACAGAGAGAGGTGATAATGTGACGGCGCGTCGCGACAGGCGGTATAAATATTTCATCCAGAGAAAAGGCGTTTAACGCATCGACAGCGGTCCCGGCGACATATGTATCCTACATAAACGGTATACGTGTATGCAGTCACAGACACAAACTCCATCTATTTCCGTACCAAGCAAGTATTTAAGCTATTCTACTTGCCTGACGAACAAAATGCCCGCTCCTTCGAAGTTTTCACTATAAAACATAATTCACATTTCATTGTAGTTGTTTAAAGTCACATTAACATGTACATTTAGTCATAACCATATTAATTATGTTCCGCCATTACTTAGATTTATATTTTGAACGTCTTTACGACTTCACATGGTTTCCTTCAACGTGTTTAAAGGAAAAATCGTTTTGTTTAAGTTATTTATTACACTGCATTGTACAACTTCTGTATTCTAATTTTACATGGAACTATTACAGAAACAATACTTTGCAGGAAACAATGGAATTTCGGTGTCAAAGTGTTGCATAATTAGAGAAAGGACGGTTTTTTATTATACCGAAGCCTCAGAATCTGCGACAATACAAAGTGAGGGAACCGACTCCCAAAGGAAGACAAAAGATTCACGGGCCCTTAGGAACAAGGGCAGAGCGGCCGCTTTTAAATATCTCATTCGGTATTCCTAATTCTACAACGTAGAGCCAATTCTTTATTTCACCTCAATGACATTGACGTTTATCAAATTACTTTATTCTGCTGGAAAAACCATCGGAGTGACGTCACATTTCACACATGGGTACTTATATAATTGTTTGCGTTCATTTATGTTTTCGATACTGATTTTCCGCGACGCAATCGTCAGGTGACGTCTTAAGTCTCAACGTCACGTTGCGCAATAAATTGACATAAAAATACACAAATTACCTACAAGTAGATACATGACGATATAATAATTTCTTAATTATTGGTCTCTGAACGAGCACGTTATGAAAATCTTAAGCAGCTTAGCGGTAAACTTCCAGGGCAATTAAGAGAAAAACGAGCAGTTTGGAGGCTTCCAATGTAGGTAAATAAATATCTAAGTACGGATCGGATTAAGTCTACAATTTTCCGAGATACCGGGTACGGGGCCGATCGGGTGAAAACTTTTGTTACGGGGGAAATTACTGCCCACTTCTGGACTTGACGTTCAACTCTACTTGATTGAATGTTTTCATAATTAATTATGAAAAATATGATATGAAATATCGCTCTAAGCAACTCGGGAAGGGTTCGAGTTATAGGCAATTGAGTGTAATGCCACGAGCTAGGAGTTTACGATGCAATTATTTAAAGATACGGACGTCTCGCATTCGCATAATCCATGCTGCATTCAATTAATTGGCAGTGTAGCTACTTGCTAACCAGTGGAGCGTGCGACATCATTTTAGTTGATAGAGTGGGCGTGTTGGTTTGCATTATAGCCCCCTGTCGTTCATCGCAAAACCACAGCGACGATGCAGTACATTTAAATCGTGAATTTAATTCATCGCAAAATAAACACGGCAGCCGAGCTCTCACCTGATAAATTATTACAACATTTAATAACAAGGTGATCCACATTATCATCAACGCTCATCTACAATAGAGGGGTTGTTCTCTCGCATGAACATAGCCGCGGAATCACTACCCTAAAATTAATATTACGCTGGAAAATTAAACGGACCGCTTCTACCAAGCTCCGGGCACTAATTCGTACGTATATCTAACTTTGCCACATTGGCACTGACCCTCGGCAGAACGGCAAAATAAGCTAAACGAAGTTTGTCGCCAACCCCACTACCCGATACACTTTAGTTCACCACTCAAATCGGTTGGTTAATATCGTTCCCCTTCAACAGTTTAATGGGTATAATACGAACAAGTAAAGATGTTAATTGTTTACACGTCGCGACTGTGTTGTGTCGGTCAGTTAGTTGATATTATTGTATTACGCGTATAAATTCACCTTGCTCCCCTCATCCGGTGTTTAAATGGGGGTGGTACAAGGTCGCCGGGTCCCACCGTATACCCTAGGGCACACATTATATGTATTATTTAAACCTACATCTAATATTCTTCTGACGGTCTATAGAGAGAAAAGGGTTCAATGTTTAGAGAAGACGTCGGACATCGATCAAGATTAAACTTTGGGAATGACTTCGAAACTCGATAAATAGGGCACGTGTTAATTTAAATAAGGATTCAACCCGAAAATTCCCTTTTAAAACTTGAAACAAAACCGTTATAGAGGATCCTTTGCTGGAATCAAGCGGCAATAAATCACAAAGACAAGATTTGATCCCACCGAGCCGTGAACAATAACGCGTTTGTTTACGTAAAGACTAGAAAAACTGTGATTCAAATGTACAAATACATATTATTATGTCCGTGGCAGTGACATTCGTGAACTGTTGCGTCATCATGCACGTCCGACAGTGAGCACTGCAGTAGTCCTCCGTAATGTTTCTAAATAGAATTTTAAAACAAAGGATTGCAGGGAGAAATAGAACAAAGAAATTGTAGTTGTGACTGAGACTATCTAAGCTTTGATCTGAATATGAAATATGAATTAGAAACCATTGTTAAATTTGATTCCAGATAAAAGAGAAAACTGACAATGTGCCCTTATGCAAACATAGTGACACAGAGCAACATGTGAACAACATTTTAAAAATTCCATCTTAGACGAGTTCTAAACCGCAAAGCGTTTAAAGGCGCGACAGAAATCGCCTAAAAAGCTGAACAGCGGCAAACCCGAAGAAAAAAATTAGCTCTCGACCGGGAAGCGGAAAGTGCGACGCCTCGCCTTCAGCTTTCAGACGCCATTATTTCATCCGGTATTAAGTCGGAAAATATTTCGCAACATCCAGCCGACTTTTTAATGGGAAATATAACTTGAGGACGATACTGTAGAGTTCAATTTTCGTCGGTATCATATTGTTTTTACACGGGTCTTGTTGCGAAGTTAGTAAGTCCTTTCTGGTTGAAGACAATAGGACGTATATTGATTCCTAGATAAATGTGTAGTTGAGACCTTTTATTTCGTGTACCTGATAGTCCTTGAGGATGCTATTCGTCTTTCGTATTGGGGCTTACAGAGATTGTGGAGAATAGACGGTGGGGCCAGATTGTGTTCTGATTGCAGTTTACAGTGAATTTTCCATGAGGTCGACGGTACAGTGGGATATAAGCCTTGCCTCCGTTTGTTCATTTTATTGCATGCACTCGAGTGGTTTGAATCGGTCTTTGAATTTTTTATTGGGCTATTAGAATCATACGAACCATTTGGCATTTAGCATGAATAAATTTCATTTATATACGTTACAAACCTTACGAGTAATTAAAAAACAAATGGAAAGTGCGTCGGCATCGAAGCGAGAGAATTGAAATTGGTGCGTAATAAACAGAAGCCTGAGAAACATGATACACTTAGATAAAATCTATGCGTGTTTGTGTGTGTGGACATTGCGTAACGAGTGATGGAGTACGCCAGGGTTGGCGGCGAGGAAGTGTATGGCTGGGGGCAGGGCACACGCGCGCTGCATTTTAATGACATGTCCCAAGCTCCGCGGCACCCCTACGATTGCAATACGATTACACGTACAACTCATATCTCTTTGTTTTAAACGTCTTTCCAGTCAAGTGTGTCAGCTGCTTACCATAAACTTGCTGGCCTACTTACATTATACCGATATTAAATTCCTCCAATTTCAATTGTATGTTTTAAATAGAAGTTAAGTAGGCAATATTAATAAAAATATGATCAATTTACAATAAAATTCGTGGAAAACATCAAATTCAGTTAATACCCCGTGAAAAACTTATTTAATCTATTTCTGGCACAAAATTATTATTGTTGTTCCAATAAGAAAATGGGTATACAGGTCACAATCGAGACGGTCGCCCTAGTTTCTTTGTGCGAGTGTTTAAGACGCGTTCATTGAATATTATAATGTAAATAAAAGTGTATCATTGAGTACATAAAACGTACTATAATCGCTAAAGTCCTACTTATCGAGTTTTGTCCGTCTTAACTCACATACCTCCACTTAGTGAATACTTAAAAACGTCTCGGCGTATGGTGCGCATATTTAGGAAAACGAGCGATAAGTCACGATGCTTAAAAAAATCGAGAATTCATGGTAGGAGCCAACCCACATTACGATAGACGTTTTATCACCCCGTCACCCGGCTATAACATAACATTGTACCGTGGCTTCGTACACCTTTCGGATTTCACCTCCAATCCTTTGTTCTCTCAGATTCGTTCGAAATAAGTCACACAGAACTACTATTGATCTTGCTGTATTTATTAGAATCCTTTGTCTATCAACATGTTCAATAAAATAGTAAACAAACAGATACGAATCTTTACTTATATTTAAAACCTTATTAACAAACCAATTTAAATTGTACAAAAACCTAAGTGACGTTTTCAATCTGAAACTGCGAATTAAACGAGGTCTATCTACGATGTTAAAGCTGTTCATAAACGCCTTTGACAGAGGCAGCGGGCCAACTTTGAATTAGTGTTGCAAATTATCATTTATCTTCGGAAGGATTAAAGGATATTGTTACAAATCTACCGTTTACACTTCGTTAGAGCACGGAGGCCTTGGGTATAGGGTAACATTGAATGAAAAGGGTATCATTACGCATTGCTTTAGGGCTAAAGGTCTCATTGACCAACGCGGCTGCTGAAGTCTGTAGGCATAATCTAAATCGGTGCACATCAATTGAGTAGTAGTTGTATCAGTAGTAAACTAGTGTCTGCTCTCGAAATAGCTGTAGCTACGTTCTCGTATAACGTGGCGGCGCGTAGTATGGGCGTCACGGGCCGGCAAGGGGGTGGGGGCCCACTCCACGTGCGCGCCGGCCCTGCCACCCCGCCTCGCTACCTATGCCGACGATAGATGGCGCCCCGAGATTAAATTGGCATATCGGATACACAATTTATTTCGCTCACCGATCGAAATGAAACATTACTCCTGCGAATGATATAAAAAAATAAACTCAACTAATATCTCTGTGGATTGAACTTAGCGTTGAGGATTAAATAGAATTTCTTTGAAACTTTGGTCGCTACTTGTCTTCACGAACAATTGTTATGGTCCCTCGTCCAACTATGGTTACCTATAAACATGTTATTGCAAACATCCAAATCAATATTCCCAAAACTTATCTAAAAAAAATATTCCTAAGAACCGTCAGACGAGTTCGACGTCACAGCAAGCACACACAAAGAGTTGATTTAAAAAAACAATAGATTATTTCAAGCTGTTTTAATATGCAAACAACGCAACAGATGTTAATTTCAAATGCGCGCGAATATAAAATGGCGTACGACCACAGA